TGGAAAGATTTAGGAGGAGATGGTGAAAGAAGTAAATTCACTAGACAATGGCTTCATGAGATGAAGGGTGAGACCAAAGATATTCTCAACTTTAAAGATAGGATAAGTGTGTTTGAAGTGACAGGATTTTGAGTATGTTGAGGGGATGAATGGCAACGTATCTTTTATTGTAGTAAATTTTTAAACATTCATGATATGTTTTGATCATAACTAATTGAATAAATATTTATGGCAATTTCTGTTAAATAAAAACATTATATTACATCCTCATCCACCTCATTCACCAGATCTGGCACGGTGTAACTTCTGGCACTTTGCCAAAGTAAAAATGACCATAAAAGGTAAATGTTTTGACTTGGTTCAGGACATCACAGCAGCCTCAACTATGCAACCAACAACAATCATAAAAAGGGACTTCCAGAACCGCTTCAGAAAGTGGCAAGAATAATGGGACAAGTGAGTTCAAAGTGACAGGGAGCACTGTGAGGGGGATAAATGGCAATGTGTCTTTTATTGTCATGATTTATTTAAATATAAACATTCTCTATATTGTTTGATCACACTTGATATGGCAGTTAAAAACATTGTTAGATATCTAAGTAGAGATGCCAGCTAGGCAAGGTGAATATACAGGTCTGCAAATCAGAAAAGAGGTACAGACCAGTTATAAATTTAAGAATCACCAGCAAGCGAATGATAAATTAAGTCATAGTCTAGCGACTGCAGAAACAGAAAGTTTAAATTAGGCAAGAACAGGGCCTAAAATGAGCTTTAATGATCTCCCAAAAGTTAAGTAAAAAAGGAAATGCAAAGGGAATGCAGACATAGCAGCCAAAAAAGAAAAGTAGCAGAAGGCGATATGAGAAAGCCAAAGAAGAGAGCACTATAAAGAGGGAAGTGGTCAGCAATATGGACACTGCTCAGAATGGTGGGAGGGACTGAAAAACACCCACTGGACTCAGCACTGCTGAGGTGAGCAATGACCTTCACAAGTACCTAAAAAAGCTCCAACAGGACACAAACCAGCCTGGAGCAGATTAATGAGTACAAGGGAAGGAAGAAAACAGAGGTGGCAAATACAGGAAACTCTTCCAAGAAATCTGACTAAGAAGGGAAGAAGAAAAACAAGGGAGATGAAAGGAGTAGAGAAATAGCTTGTGGTTAGTTTTGCTTTTGTTTTTTTGTTTGTTTGTTTGTACCGGGATTGAACTCAGGACCTTGTGCTTGCAAGGCAGGCGTGGCGCCACTACATCCCCAGCCATTGCTTTTGGTTTTAGAATAGAAGCAATGATGACAAAACAAGGTAGTGGACAGGAAAGAGAAGAATTTCTATACTGTCATCTTAAAGGCTGTAAGCAACCCTGTGGCTTCTACAAAGCGCCTTTCCATTGTCTATCAAGTACATTGGACCTTCCCCACTCTCTTCAAACCTCCAACTCAACACTTCCTACTGCCGAAAAAGGGCAAAGAACTCAGATGGATTTTCAAATTCTTACCACAAATTTCTACCTTGACCCTCTTTCTTCTTGTTCCTACGAATGGCAAATAGAAACAATTTTCTCTTAACTTTGGTCAACCTTGACCTCTACAAAGAACATCACTATTCTCCTGGTCTCTTCCTCCTTCTGTGATTATTCCTTCTATGTTCCTAGACCCACACTCCTTTGTCTATCTATGACACTGCTATATTCCAACTATAACATTTTTTTCTTAAAGATACCACATCATGCCTTTCATTTTCTCACATCTCACTTTTATCTTTACTTAATTTGCTGAATTGAAGTCTCAAATCATTGAAATAAAACATAATTTTGTTTTTCTCCATAACTACTCAGTTGAATCCTAAACCTGTTAAATATGGCCAGTGAAATTCCAAACTTTTTAGTCACATTCAATTATCTAAGCATAGTTTTCAACACCATCTGTGGATAGCCTGCCACACTAGCATTGTGAAAACTATGCGGCCTCTACCAGATGATGGTGGTGGGGAGGGCATGGCTTATTTTTACAAGCTCCTTTCCTTCCTTCCTCCCCCATGCTTCCCATCCCACTCTGCTTCCTTTATAAACTTTTGTCCTCTACTATAAATGCAGCTGTAAGAACAGAGCAATATTCTACTCACAGAGTTTACCAGACAGTAGTGATAGGTCTACCCCAGTCATCAGCCAGTCCTTTTCTAGAGGGCTCAGTGACTCCAACTGCCACTAGACTCGAGTGCTATTAGGAGGAAACAGGGCCATCTGTGGTCTTTACTCGATTTCATCTGAAATTGGTGGTTCTAATTCATCACTATGAAGATGGTGACTTTTGTATGGGTGGCACCAGTAATCTCTAGGCAGTGTAAAGGCTCCCTCTGGCTCCCTCTGCCCAACTCTGTCAGCATTTTGCATCCATTCACCTCAACAAGTGTCACCACAGGAAACCCAATGACTGCAATATCCCCACTTATCCCTATGCTCCTTCTCCCACAGAAGCCATGAGACTCTCCAGTTTCCTCTTAATCACTAAGAACTCTTTCAGAGGCTTACTACTCTAGCTTGCTCACAGGCCTTGCTAGCATGGGCTCTACTCCAACGAGCCTAGTGGGCTATAAAATCTCTTAAGACACATGAGGACACCAATGTGTATCCAAGGATACCCCTATGCTTCCAGAAACACACACCTAGTTCCCCACGGGCTGAAATGGGAAACAGGGAAAGAAAAGTAAAATGTGTTCCCAGTATCTTTCCCCTCAAGTCTCTTAACCACTGAAGACACACCAAACATCCAGCCAGAAAAGGTGTGGGTCTCCCCTTCCACTAGTCATATACACAAACTTCACAACCGATTTTTTCAAACTTCACCTCAAACTTCTGTGAGAAGAAAGGATAGTCACCACTTCATTAATTGTACACATCCCAATGGGCAGTCTTCCCCCACCTACCCTCAAGCTCTCTTTGTAAGGGGGCAAAGGAGATGTAGGGGTGATGGTCAGAGTATGGTTTTCCTGGAAGGTCAATTCTTAGCAAATCATGCAATGAAATGGCTGATATCATAACCAGCAAAAATTGAGTGAGTTTCTCTTTTAATTACAGAGGTGGCTCTGATCAGTAATGCTGGGCAACAAGATACTCTGCACTATCATGCTACATTTATTATATGAACCACATAAATACAGATGTTATTAACTGCATTTTCCATATGAGACACAAAACTGAACTGTATTTAATTAAGGCTAAAACACAAAAATCATAAATGAGAATAAATCTTTCAATGCATCAAAAACTAAGGGTTGAAAACAGCCCCCAAATGAGGAAAAATCCCTGAGTTATTATCTTGTTAAGGTTCTAACCAAGTGAGACAACAGATGGTGGTGCTTTGACAACAAGAATAGAGCAAAACAAAAACAAAAAAAGGCACTAGTTATTATCTGCCCAGCCAGCACATACTTGGGCCAAATGTTAAGCTCTATCTTTCATATCACCACCTGTAGTAAGTTCCAGAGGGAAAGAAGAGTAGAACAGAGAATGAAAATAACTTTTACACTTGCATATTTGATTTCTCAGCATAAGCCTCTGAGCATCTTGGCAAACAACTTACACAGAACATTTCTTTGATTGTTAAACTTTCACAAAGCTTTGGATAACAAGTAATGTTGGAGCCAGAAGTAAATCCCCTTTCTCACGGCCATGTCCAGCTTCCTCTCAGGGCAGGTGCTACTGTCCTGCTCATCGGGTGACAGTACTGCCACTGCTCTGTCTCCCTTCTCCGAGGAAGCACACATTTTCCAAACAAATTTGATTTATTCAGTCAGGCTTGTTATTTTTAATCACAAAATCAAAGTCTCTGGTAATATGATTATCTCTAGGGATCACCTAGAGATTACCTCGAGCTATATGCCCATGTTTTGGAAAAACTACAACTCAGAATTTGTCCAGTAATGCTTTATACCATTCAGAAACGTAATCCAAGGATGTGATTGTACTTTAAAAATCTTTCTTAAAACAAAGTTTTTTCAGACTGATAGAATATTAATTGTGGCCACCACATCATGTACAGATAATTCCAACCACTGTTCTTTTTAAAACTTGTTTCTGATGAATCATACTTTCAAGCCAGTCTAAAATTTATTTTAGCTGTTTCCAATTTAAGAAGAAACAGAGCTGCTGTCTCAACATGTAACTTTTCTTTGACCTTTTATATATTTCAAAGGCTAAATAATGAATTCCAGAGTTTTCAACAATCTTTACCATTAATACAGAAGTTATCTCTTTAATAATTCCATGAATATGTATCACTCTGATTTTTCTCAGAATTATTTTATTCAATAAAAATAAATATAATATAGTTTGTATTTATGAAAAGCCAGGCTTTTTACTGAAGTTTTAGACAGACTATTCTGTGTCTGTTTAATATCCTATTACAAACACAAGGTTATCTAAAATTAGAAAACACACCTTACAATGACATCCCAATCCCACCCAGGATTGTTTATGGTTAGCCATCAATTTCACTTTTCCCTGACCAGGGTAAATTAGGAGAATGATAAGTGTCTCAACGAAAAGGGAGCAATATCCAATTAAAGACATTAAACATGAAACCAAAGAATGTGAAAATCTCACTAGTGCCATCTACAGTACCAATGGAGAATGTAGATAAGAAAATTTTTTTAAAATAACTGCCTGTGTGTGTGTGTGTGTGTGTGTGTGGAGCCCTTTGATTCTTTCCTCAGGACTATGTATCAAAAGAGCTTTCTACCAAATACTTTACAAAGCATGAATGTATCTAGTAGGTCATACCAAAAACAAAAAAAAGCCCTCTTCAAAAATCAAGACAAAAAAAAAAAAAATCAAGACAACCTCAAGCATAATATCGATTTTAGTGTAAAGCTCAAAGAACAATATCTTGTAAGAATTAATGAAATGAAAAACATGCAGAATTTATTAAAACTAATAAAAAGTGAGGTAAATGATCAAGTCAGATGTTACCTGAATGGACTTGAAAGCCCAAGGCATCCTTACCTTACATTCCACCACGCTCTGATCTGATTCACAAGTCTCATAGATTTCATCCACTGCCCGGCGAAGATTGTCAAAAAGAAATGCCCAATATCGAGCTCTTAGATCAATTTTCCGAGGGTGTCTAGTTTTAGTGGGACTTTTATCAAAGTTTTTATCTCCAACTACAGATGTTATTTTACAGTCTACTGCAGTATTCTGGTGAAATAAAATAAAACATGAAAAAATATAAATAAAAGTGTTTCCAAGAATTGGATTTTCGTATAAAGCATATTTCTTAAACATAAATACTTAAAAACAAGACACTCTTCTTTTCAACTTACATGACACTTGACTTCACCAAAACAAACTTCTCACCTTAAAAAAGGGGGCAGGTTCATGAGGTCAATCTTTATTCCAAACAAGTCTTAGTGAAGATTAGAGTTATTTTAATGGTGAACAGACCTTTAGCAAAAAAGGAGCACGAAAGTCACTCCTGGCCTACCAGAACATACATATGAAACATTTACACAGCTTTGCAAATAACAAATAGCAATGTCAACATTTTAAATTGCTTGCATTTATTCTTTTCCTTTAGAAATGCCATTTAGGGCCGGAGATTTAGCTCAGTGGTTCTGCCACCTGCCTAGCAAGCGCAAGGATCAGAGTTCGATCCCCGGTACCAAAAAACCAACAAACAAAGAAATGCCATTTACTGCAGTTATATTCAGTTGTAGTATCACCTTTCTAAATTTAGTTGTTTTTTTTTTAAACCCATCAATAGTTCATGAGATTTGCCAATACATTTCATAGTTTTTATCAAGCTCCTCAGTTTCCTTTTCTTCTTGTGAAATACATCTCTAATAGTTCTTTCCTTAAGGATCTACAGACAGTGGCTATGGTCTGAAGGTATCTCCCCAAAATCCACGTGTTAGAAATGTAACTCTTCAAGCAACGTGTGGAGAGGTGGGGATCACTAAGATCCCACACGAGTGGATTAATCCCATGGACATGACAGTGAGTTTGTTATGGAGAAATGCTGTATGTATAAAGGATGAGTTCAGCCCCCCCTCTCTCCTGAATACCTGCAGTATTCTCTCACCATGTGATACCTTCTGCCATGTCAGGATTCAGCAAGAGGGTTCTCACCAGGCATGGGCCCCCATCTTGGACTCTGCAGCCTCCAGTACCATAAGCAAATAAACTGCTAGTGTTTATAAATTGCCCAGCCTATTGTACTGTCAGAAAAGCACAAAATTGACTAAAAAAAATAAATATTTGGCCTTTTATGTCTAAAAATAGATTTATTTCACTCTTGTGCTTGAAAAATCATTTGACTAAGCATATAATCCTGAGATAAAAATTATTTTGCCTTATAACTTTGAAGATGCTACTCCATTACCCTTTTGTTGGTAATAAGACTGCTATTCACCTGTCATTCTTCTATGGATTTATGCCAGGTAAGTTTAGAGATTATTTTCTTAACCTTGACATTGTGAAGATTCTCTAGAATAAATTTCAGTGAAAGCTCTTTCTATTTGTCCTCTTCAGTTCCAAATTTATGTTATGAAGCTCTTGAAAACAAAAAAATGAGGAAAAATTTCAACATACCCATTCTCGAATTTGAAAATCTTAGAAGACTCTCAATCCTAAATTCAATCTCTTTAGTTCTCTGAGCTATATTCTAAACCCTCCTCTAGGAGTGTCTTCTAGTTCAGAAATTTAATTACTAATTCACTAATTGTCCAATATATCATTTTTTCCATTAATTGCAGGTTTTCAATGTTTCGCTGATAATATATCATTTCCAAGATTTCTAACTGGTTTATTTTTATCTATAAATGTTCAAAATTAATATTCACCCATTTTATTTCATAAATTTTCCATTTTGCTTTATAGCTCTTCTTTCCTTTAAACCCATTTACTTGAAAAGTCTTTTTTTTTGGTACCGAGGATCAAACTCAGGATCTTGCATTTGCGAGGCAGGTGGCAAAACCACCAAGCTAAATCCCCGGCCTTCTTGAAAAGTATTTTTAGAAAAATGTCCTTTTCTCATTATTACCTCAGGAATAAATAATTTCATATGTGGAAAGTATTGTCTATATTTACGACATTATTTTCTTGTGTTCTGGTATTTTATTTTGCAGACTTACTTTGAGTTTGAGTTTCTATCTTTACTTTTTTACTTTCCTCACCTTTATGGTTACCATCATCTGCCCCACTATGCTGCCACCTGCAGAAGTCTCTTACTGGGGCCTTATAGCACTTCACCTTTAAGAATATGATAGATCCAGTCCTGAATCAGAGTCACTCCTGGATGACTGTCTGCACTCTCTTCATATAACAGCTATCACACACAGACCACTAGCCCAGACAGGTTCTAGCTTTTCCAGTTCCCTAGTGCACAGCCCTGCACAAGCCTAAGGTTTCACACCCTCAGCCCGAGTCTGTTTCCCACACAAACAGGGCATTTAGCCTTCCTTATGCCACTGGAATCGAAGACCTAGATGTTCTATCCATTTAGTGTCCCCAGCTCCACTTAACTGTCACAGAATGTTTGTTTCCTTTATTATCCACAGATGAGAAATACACTACTATGTGTTTATGTAAACCAAAAGCTTCACATGAGCAAAACGTGAACTTCTAATCAAGATTCCACTGTGCATTTATAAAGAACACACACACAGAGGCATCAATGATAAGTTTTTTTAAATAAAAAAGATAAAGGATATTTTTTAAATTTATCATTGATGTCTGTGTGTGGAGAGGGGATCTTCTTTGTAAACTTGCAATGGCATCTTGTGAGGGTGATAATAACACCTACTCCAAAGGGTTGTTATAAGAACCAAATAAATTCAAATTTGTAAAGTGTTTAGTAAGTCAGGCAAACAATGAGTACAATATACATATTTGCTAAATAAAAAGGTTACATTAAATTTTTACATAAAAGATTAAAATATATAATATTCAAATTCTGAAAAATTAGATTTTTCAAATTTATAATATATTCAGGAATTGAAATTAAAAGTAAATAAGCAGGGCCAGGGATTTAGCTCAGTGGTTCTGGTGCCTGGTTGCAAGCACAAGGTCCTGAGTTCAATCCCTGGTACCAAAAAAAAAAAGTAAATAAGCAAAAAGTTGCATGTGCTCTACCTGCTTAGCAGTTTTATGAGTGCTTTGAATTGTCCTCTTAGATTTTCCACCAGATTGACATTTAGGTTTTCCTTCAACACAAGAAAAAAAATAGATCAATGAATAGATAATCTAAAATTAAACTATAAGTAATTAGATAACATAACACCTAAACTATACAAATCATTCAGGCATACTAATACATAACTTTCATCGAGAGAACACAGAATAGTGCAATGTACTCAAAGTCCATCTGAACTACTGATGCAGTTTAAAAAAAGGGGCGGGGGGGCGAGGATTTAGCTCAGTGGTTCTGCCGCCTGCCTTGCAAGCGCAAGGTCCTGAGTTCGATCCTTGGTACCAAAAAAAAAAAAAAAAAATTTCCAAAGCCCCAGAAATCATTTTTATCAAGCAGCTTACTCAGACCAGGAATTAATCGACTTGTTAAAGAGAACAGATAATTTGCCAATTTAAAAATAAGGTCAAATTATTGTTATTTCTCAGGCCAGGGATGTAGCTCAGCAGCACAGCACCTGCCTGGCAAGCACAAAGTCCTGAGTTTGATCCCCAGTACTAAAACAAAAACAAAAACAAATTATTGTTATTTCTCAACTTATATGCAGATCTAAAAAATACTTCACTGAATTCAAATTTTATCCAATAAAATCAAGGCAATGTTTTTACCATATAAAACCCAATGTTTTTATTAGTTTCTCTGATTTATAAAATACAGTTTCATTTGGAAAAGAGAAATTTTTGATTTTTTGTATTTTTGTAGTCAAATTAGTATTTCTCATTTCTTTTTTCAAACAAGAAAGATCCTAACCACTGTTTGGTACTCACTATTCTTGATTATCAATTCAAAACAGGAACAAAGTTCTGTAATGTACAGCAAAGTAATTTTCCTTTCTACACAATAATTTTGGGCAGGTACTTGCTGCTGTGTGTGTGAAATGAGCCATAACACATAAATACGTACTGGCAACTCATCTGACATAAGTCAGACTCTTCACTATTCTACCAGAGAAGGAGGCAGAGAAATCTGCACCACACAGCCTTTCAATCATTCTTTTATCATATAAAACAATGTATTAGCAGGTACATTGGAAAATAGAATATCCAGTAAGAAAAACCAACCTGAAACAAGCAACAGAAGAAAAACAATTCATAGAAGAGAGTAATTCTTGTTCAAAATGGAACTATCCTCAGAAACATCTGAGTATGCATTGTAGCTGTAAGAACAAGCTGCTATTTAAAAATAAACATTTTCCTATAATTGGCAAAGTTTTAACATAAGATATTCTTATCAAAAATAATGAATGGGCTGGGAATTTAGCTCAGTGGTTCCGGCGCCTGCCTCGCAAGTGCAAGGTCCCAAGTTCGATCCCCGGTACCAAAAACAAAAAAAAGGAGGGGTGGGAGCTGAGGGTACAGTTCAGTGGAAGGCCCTAGGTACAATCCCTAGTACTGCCAAAAAAAAAAAAAATGCTAGCATTCTTTTTTGTCATCATTATTACACATATTTCAAAGGTTCTAATTCTATCTGTTCATAATTTTATTATTTTGCAATAACAAGTGAAGTTGTAAAATTATATTAATCAATTATTTATATGAAAAACCAGATTATGTACAGGTGTGTGATTCATTATTATATTTTCTTTTGTGCTATTTGTATAAAAGTAACTTTCTAAATAAAAACACCTTTGGATTATTTTGTAATTAACCCATGAAATTGGGAAAATTAAACTTCATATAATATTTATAATACACAGGAAGCATAAAACATTTTGTTTTTACTTTTGTAGTAAATAAATACTGATATGTTTTATCAAAGAAAAGAAGCAACAGTAAGATCCTTATGGAAAAATTACCTAATATAGAGCTGAATTTCAAAAGTAAATTTGATTCTTTGTCTATTTGATAATTTTGCGATTCAAAATAACTGCTATCTAAAAACAGCTCAAGGGCTGGGGATTTAGCTCAGTGGTTCCGCTGCCTACCTCACAAGGGCAAGGTCACAAGTTCAATCCCTGTTACCAAATAAATAAATAAATAAATAAATAAAAATAAAAACAGCTCAAAAAAAGACAAAGACAATCAATCTGTAAGCAGGGACTCGTCCAAAGAGATATTTAAAAATACTATAATATGTCCATAATTAAAACAGGATGGCATTCATACAAGAATTAGATAAGCAGATAATGTAATAGTACACAAGGAAATTCAATCTACAGAAAAGGTGGGATCTCACACAGCTGGAACAAAGAGAGACTTTATAGTACATGATGCTGGGGTGACTCGTTAGCCATTAGGAAAATGGTAGAATTAGATCTAAACCACGCTCTATGTAAGAATAAACTATAGACAGACCAGAGATCTAAAAATAGATAAAAGAAAACAAATTTTTGAATAAAATGAAATGTAAGAGATAGTGAAAGTAAAATAAATTTTTAAAAGCATGAAACATGGCTGGTTTTTTTCGTTTTGGTTTTTCGGGTGTGGGGGATTGAACCTAGGACCTCATGCATGAAGCATCCTACCAATGAGCTGTACCTCCAGCCCAGGGAAATTCTTGTTTAGCTTGGAATACTCTGTTATGTATAAGGATGCTCTCAAAAGATGATAAAAAAGTGTCAAAAGGAATCAGACACCACAAGGATGCCTCCCATCCACTAGACAAATACAGAACAATTTGATCATCAAAATAAATAGAATAATAGATGAACATTAAATATAATAAGAAGCCACAAGTCCACACAAATTTAAATTTATAAATATATACACATCAGAAAATTTCAAGATGAGGTCTCATTTGGTATATTCCTCCTCCATCCCCAGAAAGAGTAGATTGTTGTGGCCCTAAGCATTGAAAGGAGGGGTCTAGGGCCAGGGATTTAGCTCAGTGGTTCTGGCACCTCCCTCGCAAGCACAAGGTCCCAAGTTCAATCCCTGGTACCAATAAATAAATAAATAAATAAATAAATAAATGTGGTCTATAGAGAAGAAAAAATTTCAGTTCAAATATGAGTAAGAACTGAAGAAAAATCTCTTATTTTACAAATAACCATATTAAATTATACCATATAAATAATGGTATAATACCATATAAATATATGGTATTATAGTGAGTTTTTAAAAAAACTTTTACTTTTTAATGGGCACATAATAACTGCACATCTTTACAGGGTACAGTATGATTTGATGCATATACAAAATGCATCAACATTTACATCTTCTCAAGCATTTATCATTTCTTTGTGTTGGGAACTTTCAAACGCCTCTCTTCCAGTCTTTTGGGGTTGTTTTCTTCTCACACCACCCCATACTCTTCTAGTGATAGGTACTGAACCCATGCTATGCAAGCCTTTTACCACTGAATCACAGTATATTCTCCAGTTCAGTGGTGGCAAACCTATGACATGTGTACCATAGGGGGCTCTGTGACTCGTTGAAAGCTCTAAAAGGTTTGCCATCATTGCTCTAGTTTTTTGTAAGAGACAATAAATTGTTGTAAATGATAAGAATTTAATTAAAAAAATAAATCTCATAACTTTTTAAATCTGTCAGTCATAACATAACGAACCCAATTTCATTATCAGAAACAGCAAGACTAGTAACACTTACTAAACCATTTGAATACAAAAGCAATAAAAATATTTTATTTAATATATATTAATTTGCCAAAGTGAACACTGAATTTTCAATCTATTCAGTATTTCAAACTGAATGTTTCCCTGTGTTTTGTTTTGGAGATGGGGTCTCACCATGTTGCCCAGGCTGCCCTTGAACTACTAGTCTCAAAAAGGCCTCCTACCTCCACCTCCGAGTAGCTGGGACTACGGGCATGCACCACACCATGCTACCCTTCCCAAATGACAACAGAGATTCAATAATTTTTAATACATACCATCATCATCTTTGCTTTCCAGCGGAACACTCCAAGCTATCAGATTTCTTGCTGTCCGACCCTCCTCTGCAACTATTCTCCTTACTTTATCATGACTATTAGAGCGCTGGAATGAAGCCTATGTACAGAAAAAGAATACAGTACTTATTGGATTATTAGGTATTATATTAGTCAACATAAAGAATATACCTGACAAATTCATTATTTCCCACATTTACTCAGAAAGCAAACACTTAAAACTAATCTGGTATTTGGAAGGTAGTTAAACAGATAAAAGAAACTAAATCGCAAACCTTTTTCTTTATGTCTAAAAAGGCTACCTTTTACAACTTCAAAAATAAATTATTTCAAGAATAGATACAATCTAAGGTTTAAAGAAGTGTCCCAAGCAATATAACCATCACTGTATCCCTTACATAACAACAGGTCCAGGTGAAAGACAACATTTTTTTTTGGCAGAACCGGGAATCAAACTCAGGACCTTGCACTTGCCAGGTAGGTGCTGGCGCCACTGAGCTAAACCTCTGGCCCCCAGGACAACATTTTTATACATATGCCATTTTTTTTTCTTGGTACCCAGGATCGAACTCAGGACCTTGCACTTGCCAGGCAGGCATAGTGCCACTGAACTGCATCCCCAGCCTCATATGCTATACATTTCCCTTGAAAGCTCTCTGCTTTAGAAAACCCTCTTTTTACTCCTTAGTGATAGTGCTAAAGTAAACTTCAACTCAGTTGTTAGCTGTATAATTTTAACTCCAAGTTATTGGGATCTAAATAATACCTGTAACTGAGATATTTAAATTACAAATTTTAAAATTCAAGCCAGGGATTTAGCTCAGTGGTTTCGTCGTCTGCTGTGCAAGCGCAAGGACCCGAGTTCGATCCCTGGTACCAAAAAAACCCCCAAAAAACCACAAACAAATTTTAAAATTCAAACTACTTCACGTAATATGTATAATCTATTGCATGCTCTATTCCCATCCAACCTGAAAGCCACAGTGGCCTACAAATTCAGCTCCACCAAGACCCTGGGTCAGTAAAGAGCCACTTATTTTATCCTCAGTAAAATAAAGATATTGCTTCCTCCACTAATGAATGCTACAAGAAAACAGCTTGTTTTTACTAAACTGAGTATCCATAAAAGGTAAGGCATCCTAAAGTATCCAGGAGAGCATACATGCAGCTTCTAATCCCATGTGGGCAGCCAATTTCTTCCTGAAACAAGTTCTCCACTGAGCCGGCCCAAAATTGCAGGGTACCACTGGGTGCCTTCATGTACTCTTCTGGTTCTTGCCAGCCTAGCTTGTTGGCATTCCTGTTACTGGGAAATGACTATTTGCAAAGCACTGTACAAGACAGTGAGGAAAATATAAGGAAACACAGGTGGCCTTGAGTAACACAGATTTGAACAGCACAGATACACTTGGGCACAAATCCTTTCTTTGGCAAAAATTTGAAAAACTAGCAAATGAATCATGCAGTCTAGAAATGAAAATTGAATAAAAAGATATGCCACAAATGCATAAATATAGGTAGACAACAGTCTATCATATACCACCATAAATACGTACTTTGTAAAAGGTTAGTTTATCAAAATTATGCATATAAATGTAACTATACATATTTAGTTAAGAAACTGTACATAATTCACACTCCAGAGAAATGTAAACAAATATAAAGATGCAGCATTAAATCATAGCTGCATAACCACTCTAGATCATACCAAACTACATAATTTCATTGTCACTTGCTTTTGCTACTGTATTGTGAGCTCAAGTGCTGCTGGCACCCAGGAGAACACCATGTGACTCTGCCCCCAGTGACCAGTCCACCTCTCGAATAAACTACACATCCCAGCGTAAAGTGCCTCTTGCTTGGCTCTTGTGCTTTTTTCATTGTATATAAAACAGGTAACCAAATACATCTATATTTTCCTCTCTAAGACTTCAACATAAACACCTGCACCCACATTTCTTCATGGCCCTGAGTTTAACCTGGACACCTACCTGGTATTTATGTGACTAAGTTTTCACTGGAACTCATTACCCTGTGATTATTCTCCCAGCTCCCTCCTAAGCCTTCTAGATTTGCACAGTCCTCAATGGTCTCTTGTGTACTTATGTCTTACTTTCCAATTAGTGCAGCACCATAAAAACTCTCCATTTACTAAGTATATCTCCTGGTGAGTCAAATTCTGTCTAAATTCCACTGCTATCTTTATTCAGGTTTTCTCAGTATTGTTCTAACCAAAAGCATCATTTTTCATTCCAGGCCAAATGAACAAGTTTAAACAGATATCCCACTTTCAGCTCTACTTCAGATAATTTATGCAAACACAGGCATCTTCTAGGTACAGATATGTGTATTAGGCCATAAAATTCACTATTCCATACATCATTTTCTAACTCAGGAGTCTTTTTTTTTTTTGGTACTGGGGATCGAACTCAGGACCTTGTGCTTGCGAGGCAGGCAGCGGCACCACTGGGCTAAATCCCCAGCCCTCAAGAGTCTTTATAGAGTAATGAGCTTTGAAGAACTAAATGGATCCCCCCAAGAAACACTATTGCTGTAACACTAAGCCAGAAAACTTTAAATCTAATATTCTTCAATAAATAATTTCATAAATTTCACCAAGTTATTTTGTACTCAATATACAGTCTTGAGCTGGTGACATTTTCTTTGAGTGTGTGTGTGTGTGTGTGTGTGTTACTGGGGATCAAACCTAGGGGTGCTCTACCACTAAGCTACATCTCCAGCCCTTATTTTTTATTTTGAGTCGGGGTCTCACTAAGTTGCCTGGGCAAACCTCAAACTTGTGATTCTCCTGCCTCAGCCTCTTTTCATGCTGGAATTACAGGGATCTGCCCCACTGCACCTGGCTACTATTAATTCCACCTCATCATATGTAAAAACACTACTTCATCTTACTACATCTGACGGAAAGCTATTTTTCATTTTAAAGCACACATGCTTTGTGTAATATATGCTGAACAAAACTCCATTCGGTAAAGTTTCATAAAGTCTAATTATTTTTAATAATCCAAGTCATAAAAATGTCAGCAGTGGGCCGGGGATTTAGCTCAGTGGTTCTGCCACCTGCCTCGCAAGCACAAGGACTCAAGTTCGATCCCCGGTACCAAAAAAATAATAATAAATGTCAGCAGCAACTTAAACTAATAGTTTTAAATACTTTAAGTATCAGGATTTGAAATTCAATAAATGAGTCTGAGATACTTCATAACCTTATAAATGACTATTTCAAACAGTATTTTTATCTAGGTTCTTTTCTTACAGGAGACTGCAACAAAAACCCACCCAAAGTGATGGTGTGCCACCTAGTGCTGCCTGCAGATTTTACAGAGCACTGTTCAATACTGTTTCAACTGAAAGCAACAAACATCAGGCTTGAGTGAGAGTCTCTATGTACGAACCTTACAACACACACTTTAAGAAAGCAAGTGTGCTGAATATTCACAGTCTACATATTCTAAGACTTGCTGGTTTCATTGTGATGTTTTGACTTTATAATGGTATGCAAGTGGCATGCATTTGTTAGAAATCCTACTTTGAATTTTATTCAGTTTTTTGGGGTTTTCTTGGTACCAGGGATCGAACTTGGGACCTTGCACTTGCTAGGCAGGTGACAGAACCACAGAGCTAAATCCCTGGGCCCCTACTTTGAATTTTAAATTTCAATCTTTTTGCAAGCTAGCACTAAGCACATGTCTGTCTGTCTATCCCTCTCTCTCTCTCTCTCTCTCTCTCTCCTTCCCTCACTGTATAGCCTGTATTGCTAAGCTATGGTATTGGGTAGATTAAGTGTAGTAAAAACATTTCCAACTTATAGTATTGTCAACTTACAATGGGTGTATTAGGACACAATGCCAATGTAAGTCAAGGAGTATCTGAAATGTCCAACATTTAAATAAAAAATTACCAGACATGCCAGGCACAGTGGTGTGTGCCTGTAGTCCTGGCCACTTGGGACTGTGAGGTAGGAGGATCACTTCGGACCAGGAGCTCAAGGACAGCCTGAGTAGCAGCAGCAAGACCCCATCTTGGAAAATTTTTCAGGCATATCAGAAAACAAGTCAAATGACTGAAAACAAAAAAATTATAGGAAATAGAAATATACCCACACATGACCAAAATAATGGAGATATCAAAGACTTTAAGTCTAATTAATACTGCTGCGCAAGCACAAGGACCCAAGTTCGATCCCCAGTACCAAAAAAAAAAAAGAACAAAGATCCCCATCATCAACAGAAGAATGAACAAAAATCATCTTTTAAAAAGTTTTAAATTTCTCCAGGGATTTAGCTCAGTGGTTCCGCTGCCTCCTTGCAATAGCAAGGTCCCAAGTTTGATCCCCAGTACCAAAAAAAAAGTTTGAAATTTCCCACCAAGAACTAAAAACCTTCAAGCAGAAAAGCCTGGCCATTCCCTCTATTACCCAGGTGGCCCAGGTTAACAATGAGAGGATGCATTTCCATCAGACACCTCCTGACATAGCACACTGAGAATACATCATCACCATGGGATATGGGGCCCAAAATGCTAACAGCTGACCCCAATCATGTGGAAACAGAACCTAAATTAAGAGAAAGTCTTCAAAATAACTGAATAATTCTTCAAAAACAGCCAAGCCAAGAAAAACAAAGAAAGGCTGAGGAACTGTTCCAGATTAAAGGACACCAGACTCTTGACAACTAAATAGATCAAAATGAAAAGGCAACTCAAAGAGACAATGAAATGATGGGAAACTGAGTATCTGCTCAGGATTACATAATGGTAATGTCCAGATTTTGATAACTGAATTGTAGTCATATAATTATGAAAATATCTTTGTTCTTAGGAAATGTACATTTAAGTATTTTGAGATCAAAGAGTGGGTTGACTTCAAATATTTTCAAATGGTTCAGTTTATTTGTTGTTTGTTTGTTTTTTGGTACCAGGGATCGAACTTGGGTCCTTGCACTTGTGAGGCAGGCGGCGGAACCACTGAGCTAAATCCCCGGCCCTCAAATGGTTCAGTTTATAACCAAAAGATCCTCACTGTGGGAAATTCTCAGGATATAGCAAGAGGAAGGAAAATGACCCTAAATAACAGATATGAAAGCTCAAAACCTTAGAATTAAGGGGCAGTGTAAGGTGTGAGGGATAAAAGCTCACAGGTGGGTGCACTACTATCCTTGCACCACAGGAGGGAGTTCTGCCCTGGGCCCCCACAGTTTAGCCGGGTCTACTACCAAAAACAAAATACAAAATCAGCAGTTCACTGTAAAGCAGGAATTATGGGAAGGGGACTTATAAATAGAAGTTGTTCCCCCCACACACATACACACCCAGACAATGAGGGGAGGGAAAGAAGGGGCAAATCACAGCCTTGGTGCTGAGAAAACCAGAGTAGGAATAAATCTGCTTGTGTTTAAGGGTGGCCACACCAAGTTTCCCAAAGGAAGTATATGGATACACTGCATTCCCCATGAACTCCATTCCCTCTTCCTCTTCCTCAGTCAGGACTGTTTAAGAGAATAGTCAGAATTGCCTGAAAATCTTGAGCTGGAAAAGTAAAGCGTGCAGGTCAGGCAGCTGCCCGCCTCAGCACCCTGCCCTAGAGTTCCCATCAGTTCCCAGCTGGCAAACTCAGCCCTGCCTGGTGTGGGGACAACGCACTCCCTTCAGGACTGGCTGGGCCCTGGTGGGAAAGCCGGCCAGGACTGGCCTTTCTCTTTTCATTACTCTTTACTATTAAGATATGAAAGAAGCTGGCTATCATCTGTATGCCCACCCTAGTCCCACAAGGGTTAGGGAGCAGCAACAGTTCCTGAAACAAATGCCAAACTTAAAAAGATAGTACATGACAAGTGGGTGGAAGAGAGAAAGAAAAAGGCCAAAAAAACCATGGTTAATCTTTAAGATAGCTAGATTACTCACCATCATTCTGTAAGTCTCTTCTGTGCCAAGATCATTTACACATAAAACCATGGGGTGTGACTCCTACAATAAAAAATATACATAAACCTTTAGTCACAACGTTTTCAGAAAATCAAATGTGTTCATCAAAAGATACAAAGCTCATCCTCTCAAGTTTCTCATCACATTAAACACTCAAAAACATCACTCCTTTTCATTGCCTGTTAGGGTATGATATAGTAGGCTTTAAATATTCTACACTGAACAATAGCATCTTAATGCCTTCCAAAAAATAAAAGTAAAATGGAAAACAAAACAGTGTTGATTACTAGTAGATAAGTATTCCAACCCAGAATCATCAAGCTGTTTTACTACAGCACACACACACACTTTATATCTTGATTCACACATTTAATTTTAAAGTTTCAAGAAGGAAGCCAGGTGTGGTGGCACACACCTGTAATCCTAGCACTAGGGAGACTGAGGCAGTAGGATCACCATGAGTTTGAGGGTAGCCTGGGCTACATGATGAGTTCAAGGCCAGTCTGAACTACATAGCCAGACTCTGTCTCAAAAAAAAAAAAAAAAAGTTTCATGAAGTACTATTTACCCCTATTGTATGGGATGAACCATAGTATCTCCTATATTCCATTTAATTTTTTAAAATGCTGTTTTCACTGAATTGACTCAATAGTAAGCCCTGACTTAGTATGGAAAACAATGTGCAATCTTAAGAATTTTCAAAGGCTGAGACTTTAACAGAATAGCGCCCCCCCCCCAGTACTGGCAATCAAAGGGCCACACCCTTAACCCCTCCTTCGGACACAGTAACTCATTAAGTTGCACAAGTTGGCTTTGAGCTTGCAATACTCCTGCCTCAGTCTCCCCAAGTAAGAATATCTTTACCAATTACGTGTCTATAATGAACAGTCCTTACCTTTCAGGGAACCTACTTAATATGGTTCCTTTGAAGAAATCTAAAGCACAGAAACTAGATAGAACACAAACGGACAGGGAAACTGCTAAGAAAAAATGGCCTAACTCTATCATAAGAGCCAATGAACAAAGAAAAGAACCAACTGAAACCAGACTCCCTTCTGGAATAAGAACCTTGATCATTTATCCTCTGTCAAGCACTTGCCTAGAATATATGAGGCCCTGGGTTCAATCCCCACAAACACAAGCATATGTCCCCACAAAAAGTTATTCACAGATGTTCACACAGCATTATGTGATAGGAAAAAATCACATGCCATCAACTGACAAATGGCTAAGTACAATGCACATATCCATAAATGCAATATTATCTGGCTATAAAGGGGAATAAAGTGCTGAGGCAGTCTACCACGGGGATGAACTGTGAAAACTCTGTGCTCAGTGAAATGACCACATATTGCATGATTCCATTTGATATAAAATGTCCATAGCAGTCAAATCCAGAGTCAGAACACAAATTAGTGATTACCTAAGGTAAGAGGGTTGGGAGAAAATGGGAGAAAAAACCCCTCTTGGGGTTGATAAAAATGTTCCAAAATTCATTGTGGTGATGACTGCACAGCTTTGTGAATACATGTTTTTTAAAATAGGTGAGTTATTTGGTATATGAATATCTCAATAAAGCTGGTATTTTTTAAATATGATGCCACTCCATCTCAGGGTGAAAGCCAGCACTCACAGTCAACCACCACGTGCTGTTTGTTCCCTTCCCATCCCTCTCTAGTCTGGATTCATTTCACTCCCAGGCACACTGGCATCTTTATGTTCCTAGACACACTTGAGCTTTAAGGATTCACACTTGTTGCATCTCTATCTGGAACACTCACCATTCATTCTGTCTTTACTTAAATGTCACTTTCTCAGTGAGGCCTTTTCAAGTAACTGATTTAAAACTGCAGCCCTACCAGACAAAAGCTGCAGAAGTTCATTACCACTAGCCTAGCCTTACAAGACACACTAAAGGAGCTCTTCAAGTTGAAATGAGAGGATGCCGATGACCTATACATCTACCAAAACATCATGTTGTACTTTGTAAGTTTATATTATATAATTTTTGTCAATTGTAACTTAATAAAGTTGAGGGTTTGCAACCCGTCTACCACCCATCTATCCTACCACTGCTAGCACTCCTCATCTCTCTCCCTGTTTCGAACACTTAAAACTTCATGTTATTTACTTACTAGGTGTGCTGTGGGTCTGTCTCCCTGTAGAACAGAAGATCGGTGATGTTTACAGGCTGTGTTACTGCTACAGTCCCAGAACTCAGACCAGCACCTCACACTGAGCAGGCATTATTTAATTACTAATGAACACAGCCCTACAAACAAAATCTTTGCTTACCTTGTTTCATCCTTCTATCTTCTACACATTCAAAGCCTACCAAATCTTCAAGGCCAGCTCAGACTACTGGCCTCACAAAGACTACTTCTTTTCCCAGTGCTGGGATGGAAGCCAGGGTCTGCTCCTGGTCTACAAACACTCTGCTCTGAGCTATCCCCAGCCCAGGAAGCACACTCTTACATCCCTGCTGACAGGCCTTCACCTGGCCTCCCTCACTACTTGAACTGCATCTTCGACCTCTAGACAGTTGGAGAAAGCATGATATGCTGAAAAGAGTACAGTCATCAGTCAGCCAACTCACTGGATATGTGGCCCTGATCCCTGAAAACAGTATTCTCATCTATGAAAATGAAGATTAAGTATTTTATACAATTGTTCACCCCAGCTTTATTCATAATAGCCCAAAACTGGAAACAGCCCAAATATCCATCAACAGAATACACAAACAAATTATAGTATATCCACATTATAGAACAATACTTTCCAATACAAGGAATGATTACTAATATATGTATATAACAAAACAGAATCTCAGTTTTCTGTAATACGACATCTGCTTTACAAAGCTAAATTGGAGAATGCTAGAGTTCAAAATTACACTAGTTAAAACAATATCTGATAGATACCCAAATTATTTCTAAAATAATACATAAAGCCAGGCACATAATAGATGCCCAATAAATATTGTCCTCTGTTCCCAACTTCCCTTACATTGGGAGTTTTTCTGTACTACATTTTAATATCCTGAAGGATAGGATCACTAACTGAATGTTCTTTGCTTCCCACTTACGACAGTCCCTTATGAACAGCAGGCACTTGAAAGAAAGGCAGGAAGAATACCAGATGGTTCATGGGTTAAGCAGAAATACCTCCTTCCTTTTGGTCATTCTGGAATCAGTGAAGCCGCATATTCTACCAGCCTGATCTGACAGATGGCAGAATGTGGCTGTAGATACAGAGAAAACTTCATTTGCTGGCCTGCTCACTGCTCACCTTCAGTAGCCCTGGCCTCTGGAGGCTGGGGAACCTTGGTTCAAAATATAATTGCACTGTAGTTACAATCTTTTTTTTTTATATTAAATTCTTTCATTGGTACATTGTAGGTATACAACACAATTACATTTCTCATTGGGAATTGTACCTTTACATAATGCATCTTGGTTCGTATTTTTTCCCCATTCCTAGCCCTCCCTTCACGCCCTCCACCCTTCCCTATTTACAAAGACTTTATTTCCATTTTTTCCATTTCTCATCATTTTTTCCTTTCCCTTCTGTGCTTCCCCCTGTGCCTCCCACTACCCCTACCTCTTTGGACCTTTTATTCCTATTTTACATTATCGATTATTCATTCTAATCATTGGTACATTTTAGGTATACAATATGACATTCATCATTGGAAATTTGCACCTTTACATAGTGTCTCTTGGTTCTTGTTTTTCACCCTTGCCCAGGCCTCCCTTCAACCCCTCCAGTCCTCCCTATTTACAAAGATTTTGTTCCTATTTTTCCATTTTCTCATATTAATCCCATTCCCTTCTATCCTTTCCCTTAGCCTTCCCACTTCCTTCCCCTTTGCCCCTTTTCTTCCTATTTCACATGACCTATTATACATTTAGTCCTTAGTTACAATCTTAAAAGATTAAATTACTTGAATTTAAGTATGCTTCCAAATTACAGATTAAACTCAGCTTTTTCTTTTTTTTTTTTGAGACAAGGTCTCATTGTGTAGTTCAACCTGGCCTTGAGCTCACTATGTAGCTCAGATTGGCCTCAAACTCACAGCAGTCCTCCTCCTTACCCTCCCAAGTGCTGGCATTACAGGCATGTGCCACCATGCCTGGCTTTAAACTCAGCTTTGACTTAAAATTTTCAACACTGAGATCACAAATTCTAGTTATGAAGATTTTTTTGAAGATGCAAAGGCTCAAGACTGAATCTTTGTATCTTAAGTCCTATCAGATACCAACTGACTCCAAATCTTTTTTATCACTATGTCTTCTTCATTATTGTTCAATTTGGCACTTGACAGACTATTGTCTCTACCTCTAAACTGAAAGTCAGTCATGCACTTGAAATACATGATTTTCTTTCATTTGTTTCTTAAATCCAAGATAATTCTATGGGCAAATAGGTACTATAATGTGTACATTAATAAATACAGTGGTACCTTGGTTCATGAAGTTGATTCTTTCTACCATTCTGGTCACAAACCGAGTTAAACAAGAACCAAATTATATTCAATAGTTAGGTTCAGTGTCAACCTTATGGGGAAATTTGATTTGGATCTCTTCCAGTTCAGTCTGCATCCAGAATAGTAGAGAATTAAGTTTGTGAACTGAGATATCACTGCATAAGTAGGAGTATATATTTCATAGTAGAGTATTTAAATATCACAAAGGTTTTCTAGGCGATAATAACATGAATTTAAAAACCAACTGAAAGCCGGGCATGGTGGTGCACACCTGTACTCCCAGTATTCAAGGCTAAGGCAGAAAAATCGAGGTGAGTTCAAGGCCAGCCTGGGCTACATAATGAGTTCGAGGCCAGTCTGGGCTACTTAATGAGTTCAAGGCCACCCTGAATTACATAGTGAGGCCCTGTCTCAAAAACAAACAAACAAAAAAACCAATTGAGAGAAAGAGTGCACAACAAAAATAGCAAGAACACATATCAGGTTAAATAACAGGTTAGAAGGTTATGTCCTCATTTTTCAAAACAAAAAATACATGAAGGGCTAATGTGTACATGAAAAGATGTTGAAATCACTAATCATTCAGGAAAAACAAATCAAAACCACTATGAGATACCACTTCACACCCACCAAGATGTCTGTCATCAAAAAGACAAAACAAGGGCTGGGGATTTAGCTCAGTGGCACCCTGCCTGCCTCGCAAGCACAAGGACCTGAGTTTGATCCCCAGTACCAAAAAAGAAAAAAAGACAAAACAAGTGTTGGAGAGGATATGGAGAAACTGGAATCCTCACACACTGCAGTGGGAATTTTAAATGGTATGGTTGCTTTGGTAAACAGTCTAGTAGTTCCTTAAAAAATTAAACATAGAGTTACCATAGGACCCAGCAATTTCACTACTAGGTATGTATTTCTGAGAAATGAAAACACAAGTATACACATAAACCTGTACAAGAATGTTCACAGCAGCATTGCTCATAATAAAATATAGAAACAACCTAAGTGTCTGTCTATCAACTGACAATGGATAAACACAACATGGGATGCCCACACAATGAAATGGGATTCGATCACAATCAGGAAGGAAGTGCTGATACATTTGAGAGTATGAATGAACCTTGAAAACATGCCAAACAGAAGAATCTAGACACAAGAGACCACATAATATACAACTTCACTAACGTGCAATATCCTGAAGGAGCAAATCTACAGAAACAGAACATAGATTAGTGGTGGGCTGTGGCGATAGGCTGGGAGAAGAAAGATGGGGCCAGGGAAAGAGAATAACTACTAATGGCTATGGAGTTTTATATTAGGATGCTAAAAATGTTCTAAAATTGATTTTGGGGACCGGGATTTAGCTCAGTGGTACCGCCGCCTGCCTCACAAGCACAAGGTACTGAGTTCAATCCCCAGTACCAAAATAAATAAAACTGATTTTGGTAATAAATGTAAAACTCTGTGAATACATGAAACATCAATGAAGTCCACATTGTAAACGGATATATTTTATGGTATATAAAATATAGCTCAATGTCTTACTTGTCTCTTGTTGCTGAGACAAAATATCCAACACCTACATGTTAAGGTAGAAAAGGTTTATTAAGCTCACAGTTTGTAGAGGTTTCAGTTCATAATTGGCTGGCTCCAAGGCAGAGTGGAGAGCAGACAGGCATCACAGAGGAGAAACACCTCATGGCAGGCAGAAGATAACAAAGCAAGAGATGACCACAGCTCTTTCTATCCCTTATATTTTATCCAAGCTACCTAGGGTGGCTAGCACCCACACTCTTAATCCTAGTGCCCTTGACCCTGGCATTACACCATGAATTAATCCTAGCATCACACACTCTAGATCCAGCTACCTCTGAAAAAGCCCCCCTATGACTGCATGAGGCTTTGGGGTGACATCTAGACACAAGCCATAACACTCAATAAAGCTGCTTTAAAAAAAAAGCTATATCCTAATCCAAATTTCAGTTACTCTTTCATGTTACTTACCTTAACTAAGTACCACCTATACTATTATTTACATAGTTTGTTTTTCTTTAATCATATTTTACTTAAATTTAAAAGAAAGTTAACACTATCATACCTATAAAATCAGCTAATATAAAAGAAATATGAATATGCCAAAATACTGGCAGTAGTATTCAAATAAAAACAATATGAGAAGCTCTGGGCTGAAGCAAAACAATGGCCAAGCACAAAAAAATGGGAAAAAAAAAAAACCAAGTCAATAGCAGGGAATGAACACTAGGATTGATTGGGCCTAAGGTGCTGGAACAAGCTGGTGCCTGCAATGAACCTAAGACTCAGTTGTCTCAATCCTCCCCTACAGCCCCAAGATATCTGGAGAGACATGAGAGTCCTAGAGATAGAAATGTGAAGATTATCCAAGTGCCAGGAAAGGCATCCCTCTTTTCACCTTCTGAGTTTGGGTACACAGGAATAAGGGAGCCAGGAATAAATGGCAGGCCCATAGCAGGGAGAAGCCTAAGAGCATTACTTCTAAAATCACAGGTCCATCGAACAGAAATTGCAGAGCACATCTATGAATTGTTCACATATTTGCCAACAGATTCTTTTACTTTGGGAGGGGTACCAGGGGTTGAATTCAGGACCTTGTGCTTACAAGGCAGGTGCAGTGCCACTGAGCTAAATGCCCAGCCCCACCAATAGATTATTTTAAACCTGAGATTTGCAATCACAGTTCCTCTTCAATGTTTACAAAACCTATTATCCATGTTTTTGCCTTTTTGAGTTCAGTTTAAGGAAATTTGCATATATGGCTTTCTGAGTCAGGTATCTAAACAATGTTGTTATAGGTATACTTAGAAAACTATCAGTAACTTTTCAAATTTTTGCTACATGGAAAGAAACTGTATTACGGTAAAAAAAAAATCAGAAGAGTAATATGGACACTTTATAATGCCTTGTTGCTTAGTGAGGTTTTCATTATTTCTATACATACTTCCATGAATACATCAACCAAGAGTTATTTATGCAATATGCCCCCCTAAAAATATGAAAACTATCTCTCTTTTCCTGCATCAAAAGCAGAGAAATCTTTACAAATGATATATAGTAACTAATATTTGCTTCAAAACAGTTTGGCACAGGGTAACTTTTATGGACAAGATTATCCAGTGTAGGTAACTGATGAAACAGAGACTGGTGTACAGCAACACACATTCTTTGTATTTTTGCATGTTTTCAAAATAATATATAATAAACATCATTAAGTACTACTTAGTAAAACTTCATAAAACCAGGGGCCGGGGATTTAGCTCAGTGGTTTCGCTCCTTGCTGTGCAAGCACAAGGACCCAAGTTCAATCCCCGGTGCCAAAAAAAAAAAAAACTTCATAAAAGCTTTAGTGTTTAATGTCACAGAGGAAAAAGTCTTTCCATAAAGCATTTCCTTCAAATATTTTTTTAAGGCAAACTTCACAAGACCTATTGCCAATCAGTAAAAGCCAAACATGTTTGTGAAAAAGGTCACCATCCAGCTGAAAATTGCAAACAACTTTTTTTTTTTGAAACAGGGTCTTCACATGCAGCCCAGGCTGACCTCAAATTCACAGCAATCCTCCTGCCTCAGCATTCGAAGGGCTGGGATTTCAGGTGTGCACCATTACTCCTGGCTCAGAATTTTATTAACTATGTATTTTGATCTTCATGATCCAAGCCACTTTCAGTTTTCACATCTACAATTTCAGAAATGCCAATTTCACAATGGATATCAGATTGTACTATTAGGGGGAATGTGTTAAACTTCCCACTAAATAACACCACCACTTTCTAAGTGTGTAATGAATGTTCAAGGGTGATCCTGAAAGGATTTTTTGCTTCTTCTTTAAAACTAGGTTGGGGTGTGATTGAGTATGAAGGTGAAAAAAAATCTCAAGTCCTCTCATTTATCTTTGAAAGATTCCTGAAAAGTAGTTGAAAGAAGGCATTAATAAGTCTTACTACCAAATTAATAATTTGATACTTAAATGCCAATGAAGCATAAAGGAAAAACACTTTTAAAACCTGTTAAAGACACTATATCCTTGGGATCCCAGCCACCAAAATTACTTATTTATAAACACATTTATATGGTAACACTGATTATGTTCCATGGTTATTTGACTGTAACAAACAGGTATTCAACCATAGTGCTATGACCTCAATGTTTATATGCCCTCAAGATCCATATGTTGAAGTCCTGGCTCCCAAGGTGATGCTATGAGCAGAGAGGAACGTTGGGAGATAATAAGTAAAAAGAGGGTAGGCCCCTCAAGAATGGGATTAACGTCCCTACACAAGAGACCTTTTCCCCTTCTGCCATATGAGAACACAGCTGGAAATTGCTATCTGTGGATCAGAAGGCAGTCATCACCAAACTCAGAATCTGCTAGCATCTTCATATTTTGGATTTAATGGCCTCCAAAACTGTGAGAAACCAATCTCTCTTGTTTATAAGCCACTGGCCTAGGGTATTTTATTATAGCAGGCCAAATGGCCTAAAGCACACAGAGAGTTTTTAAAATTCAGATCAAAGGGGGCGGGGGAGCATTTGTTGAAGTTGTTCTAAATGTTTACAGACACCTCAGTTATTGCTATCAATTTATGAGATGGAAATTATCCCTACATTACAGAACAGGAAACTCAGTCAAAAAAAGTAACTTGACAAAGAACAAGAGTGGTGAGATGGTGATTCAAACTCAGATCAGTCTGCTTTCAAAGCCACCATATCATACTTCGTTCCACAGATAACTTTCCAACTCACATTAAAAATTGACTTGATTTATGTAGCTTAGTGACAGAATGCTTGCATAGCATGCTGCAAGGTCCAAGGTTCAATCCCCCACCACCGCACATACACACACAGACACACACACACACCCCTACCTCATGGATTAATAAAAATATTAATTCTTTGGTGGCTATTCAAATCATTTCAATATTCAAACTCTGCCAATACATTTTGAGTAAAACACATACAGTAGCTTACAGAAAAGAACAGAGCACCAAGTTAGGCCACAGTGAGGTACTGGTTAGACTACTAAATTCAGTGCAGAAAGCTTAGTCTCAGATCTAACGGGTGGGTGATGGGGAGCAAGCCATAAACTCCCAGCCTCACCTCGGACTGCTTAGGAGACGTGATGTAGATGAAATAAATCTGTAAATTATAATGATATAAGGAATCGCTGTATCTTCAGTGAGACGAAGATGGAGAAGCGCTGTTTTCAGGACAGTAAGTTGACACAAATGAGAAGCCACGCATAGGCAGAGAAAGCCGCCAGCCCTGGAGCAGGCGGGCACTTGACAGCGGAAGGTGCGGCGTGGAGCGCGCTTTCTGCCGCTTTCTCACCACCCGGAGCCAGTGCCCGAATCCGGCCACCCCCCCGGACGCGAGTAGGAGACGCGTGGAGGAAGGTGCGAAGGAAGAGCAGGGAGGACGGGAACAGGGCAAGGCGGCCTGCTACCCCAGGTGACAGGCCTGGGTGACATCCTGGCCCAATAGCAGCGTCTGCAAATCCGAGCGACCCTCCCCGCCCTGCCCGGAGTCCCGAGCCCACGACGGCGACCACCTGTCACTAAGACAGAGAGAGGGGCTCTCGAGACCCCAGCAGTTCGGACACTCCAGAAGCCGGGGACCCCTGCTCCGGCCTGCGGAGCCCCCGCTCGGCCTCCTCAGCCTCCCTGCTCTCCTCCGCCAGCTGCGCCCCCGCCCCGCTCCCTCAGCGCCCAGGTGAGGGGAGGTGCGCCGCGCCGCCATCTTGTCCCCAGCCCCGCCACACCCCCGCCGCCCGCACCCCAGGCCCCTCGCGGACACTCACCCCGCCGCCCTGCGCAGTACCGGCAGTTCCGAGCGTCCCGCCGGGAAAGGGGCGGGGCTGCTTGGAGGGGCGTGGCCGGGCGGCCTAAGGCGCACCACGTGACCCGGTGCGCTCGCTGCGCTCGCTGCGCCCGCACGCAGGCGCAGTGCTCGGGCTGGAGGGAGAACTAGTGTCTGCCCCACTTCCGCGCAGGGATTCTCCATCTCAGCTCTTTGTACAGGCTTCTCTCGCACCACTACCTGGACTGTTTGGTGCTCTCTTTCACCGGTCTCATCATCGCAGTCCGCTGGATGTCCGCCTCAAATACGCACGCGTGAAAGCCACGGCGAGGGTCCAAGGCGTGGAAGGCGCCACACACCGATGACCTAACACGTTTAGTCTACTTCAGAGACGGCGTAACACTAAACAGGTAGTGCGTGATTTTTAAATCAGTCCTGAAATACCTAGGGAAAAGTTACACAGCCTAAATCATCAAGTGAATATTTCCCACCACTTTCATCCACTTTTTTACTGGCCCATTCCCTCCTTATCACAGCAGGTGGAAAGTCACGGGACCTACGGGAGGCAGTGGGAAGGCAGGTGAGCTCTGCACATCTGTGTTTTTATATCTGTCCCCTACCCTGTGGACCCCATTACGTGTGCTTGTCCTGCGGTTTTAGTCTCTTGTGTAATTGCACAGCAGGAGTAAGAGTGGCAGCCAGAACCAGGGTGGGTGCGTTGAGTTTTGCGTGGCAGGAGCATTTTGAAAGAACCCATGGGGACAGACTGTGCAGGGATGGCAGTTGACTCCCAAAGCCGATGGACTTGGAGTGTGAGTGTGAGCTGTGCAAGAAGCTTCCTGTCCCTGCATAATGCATGTCCTTAGCCATAGTTCACAAACTTAGTTTTGTGGTTTCAGCCTAACGTGGCAGATAGATCTTAAAGGATGAAGCAGTATACATCAGTAGTTGTTAATAGAGCCATACCAGCTCTGTCTATATAACAGGGAAATAGAGTTAGCCAGAGAGGTTAAATGACTTGGCTATCCCATATATAAACACAAACTGGGTTTTGAGTACACATTAGTGTTTGGTGTTCTATGGGCTAGGCACTGTGGGAAAAACTAATACAGATAAAGATGTCCCTCCTTTAACAACCTACCTGTTTAATAACTGTTTAGACTTCCCACCGTTCACTCCGACATATTACCTGTCTTTTTGTGTGTGTGTAGTTCTGTACATCTTGTTGATGGAATCTCAGTGTCTTTTTTTGTACAGTACACCTTGTTTATACAGTACTATGATTTTTGCTGATTGTACAGTACAGTACTATAGTTTTATGTTCTGTTATACATTACAGTACTGCATGTAAGAGTTATGCAAATAAAAGCAAAGGCATCAAGTTGGAGTTTTCTTTGACCATTTCTTTGTTCTGGATATTGTAATGTACATACTATATACAATTCTGACCTAGCCATCAATTCTTTTAATGACCTGGTCCTAGGGACTAAATTTGGTCCTTAAGCAAGAAGTGTCTCTGTACTACAATTGGAGCTATGGGACCACTCCCCCTCCCCTCACCTGAATTTGGGCCACACCCAGGGCTCCCCCACCCCCACCCCACTTTGTCCTAAGGAGACAGAAATAAGAAGACTCTCTGGAAATTCCTAAAATTCCAGGCCAGGAGGCATGTATGCTAGACTAGCTGTGCATTGAGCCCTCAGGTCATTTTTCTTTTTTCCAGTTCCCAGGACCTAATCTCACAGAGTTTGGCTTTACCAGAGGATGCCCTGGGGCTGAATGGGTTGGGGAGCTGACCCAAGGGACCCTTTGTAAGGTTCCCACAACCTAATTCTTACTCTTCCTCTCCACAGACTCATTATAGGGAATGTCTCATCCCTACTACCTGACTGCTTGAATGCCTTCTCTGGCAGTCACTGGGATAAATTTGACACTAGCCCCCCCCCCCCATTGACTACCTCCTCACCAGCCTTCACAGTCACCCCTCTCCCCAGGAGATAAAGACAACCTCCTGAGCCCACCCCATACTAGGTCTGGGTCTGTCTAGCTTAATTAAGGCCCCAGACTCAAAAAACTAGCATTGAAGCCTCCCACCATTCTATCCCTTTGGGAGGTGGTAGACAATGGTACTGTACTGCTGGAGTTCAGATCCCTTTTTCAGTCATAGTATTTAGCAATGCAAAGAGAACAGGATAAATTTTCTGAGGACCTTGAAAAGTGCTGCCTGATTCCATACCCTGACCAGGGCTTTTGATCTGACCTGGTGAGATGTCCAGTTCATCCTAGTTTCTTGCTTCACAGCAATAGAAGGAGGATTATGAGAGCTGAAAAAGAGGATTATGAGAGCTGAAAAGCCAATGATGAGCTGCGCCCAATGATAAACAGCTAACCATTATTTGGGCCCCAAGAAGGACCTGGGTGATATTACAGCACTGGGAGTGGAGAAACCAAAGGAAGGTTATAGCTCTAGCCCCTCTTACTGGGTATGCACAAGGGCATGCCCAAGCCTCTAAATTATAAGTTTAGGACTATCATTCAGGGCTCTGATGAAAATCCTGCTACTTTCCAGCACTAGCTTGAAAAGGCACTTTGTAAATACATGAATTTAACCCTGGAAACTAGAGAGGGCCAAATTATCCTGGGATAGTATTTTATTATTCAGTCAGCACCAGATATTAGAGGAAACTCCAAAAACTCTAAAAGGGCCATAAGTTGAGATAAGTCAACTGGTCAATGTGGCTTTTAAATCTGGTATCTAGAGAGGGCCAAATTATCCTGGGACAGTATTTTATTAGCTAGTCAACTCCAGATAGTAGGAGGAAACTCCGAAAATTCCAACAGAGCCCATAAGTTGGGATAACTCAGTTGGTCAAAGTGGCTTATACAGTCATTAACAATCATGACAAAGAAGAGAACAAATGAGAGTTGAGTACAGAGAAAAGACAGGCTAAAGCTATCCTGGCCCTAATGGATTATCAGGAACTGTGCAACTCCCATAACCACCTGACAGAGGGCACAGCAAGGATAAAGAATAAAACAAGACAGGGGCCAGGGATTTAGCTCAGTGGTGCTGCCACCTGCCTCACAAGCGCAGGGTCCTGAGTTTGATCCCTGGTACCAAAAAAAAAAAGACAAAGTTTTACTGCATAAGTAGGGGTCTGAGACAGTCATGGCTCTTATCAGACTATGACCCCGAAGCTTTTGACTTGCCACTATTTATTGATCACACAGCATTGCAAGGGGTGTAAAGGCAAATGGAGAGAACAGCGGGGACTAAGGCACTGACGACAGCCAGGCTTATAAAAAGGGAGGAATGATGCATTCCTGTGAAAGACAGGTTGTCATTAATGAGTAACCTGTGTTTTCTTTAGCTAACATTTGTTCTAGGAGAATGGCTGCATAAGAGTCATAAAGTCTTCAGCTGCAGTGTTATCTTGCTATAAGAGATGCTACAGTGTCACTGACCATTGAGGCCTCAACTGTCACCACTGGCATAGGAGCTCTGTTTCCACATGCCAGCTAAAGGTTCATCTAGCAAGTCATGTAGGCCTAAAACAGACTCACAATTTAATCAATAGCTAATTCATAAGCCAATTCAATAATATTTTATAGCTTGCTCAGCAGGGTTTCAAGCTGCTCTCCAGCAATAGATAAAGCTCATGATAAAGCCCACAGCACCAGGAGAACCAAGGTAATCCAAAGGATGATGGAGGCAAATCTGAGTGCTTCAAGTGCAAGTGGGCAGTGGGCAAAGGAGGGGCCTCAAAAGCCACTGAGTCATTGCTGAGACTGTCTGAACATGGATGAAGACCCTTGACACTGGAGGAGGAACTGCCCTCATTCCCAGACAGGGATGAAATCATCCACTACCATGGTGGCCTGGGGTTCAGCTTATGTGGCCTCCACACAAGAACATCCTCATCACCTCTCAGGAGCCTTGATAACTGTGGGTGTAACAGACAAACAGATTACATTCCTTTTCTATTCTGGGGCTTCTTACTCAATTCTAACCTCTTATTGGGGTGAGTTATCCTCAGTTGTAGGCCTTGAAGGAGTTAACCAGTTTTCTTTACCTTCCTCTGAATTGCTGATTGGGAAATTTTCTTTTCCAAGCTGGCTTCATGGTAGTACCAAACTAATTGGAAAAGATATACTCTTTCTTCTCAGGGCCACTCTGTCATTCAATCCTCTGGCAGCCCATTTCCTAGTTGCCAGAAACCTGACCAGCCTGGCTTCATTGGACCCAGTTTCTCTTCCAAAATAGCACTGGACTCTAGTAAAGACAGAGTCTCTATAACATAAGTTTGATATAATCTGAGCTGCTCATCATGATAAGATTGGACATGCACACCCATCATCAATTAAAAGTGGTATATAAAACAGGCTTGAGCAGCACAGTAGGACACAGATAAGTTGCATAGGCTAGTAGCACAGACTCTAGAGCTGCATTAAAAATTACCTGCCACCACTTGTTGGGAGAAAAGAAATTTAGACCTGGTTTAAAGATGAGTCTGCACAATACATTGACATCAGCTGGAAATGGATTACTGTGATCCTACCATTCCATTCAGAAGTGGCTCTAAAAGAAAATAGTGAAAGGCAGTCCCCTTGATGGGAAAACTATGGATGGTACATCTGGATGTCCACTTTACTTAGAAGGAAACTGAGCTGAGGTCCAGATCTATTCTGGCTCCTAGGTTGTAGCTAATGGTTTTACCTGTTTCTTACTGACTTGTAAAGAACAATATTGGAATATTGATAACAAGGAAATCTAAGGAAAAATTATATGGGTAGACCTCTCAAAAGCGATGAATATATGAATATTGTGAGGACTTCTGTGCTTCACATGAATGATTACCAAAGGGCTTCCACATAATAGATGAACAAGAAGGCTCATTCTGTGGACACTGGTGAGCTTCTTTATTGACACTAGTCCTTGTGCAGTGGACCCATATATTACTAGCCATGGCCAGGATGAGGCTATCCATAGAGTGACAACGTGGATTTCTTCTCTGGGGCAGAAACCCAATCTGCCAACAGCAGGAGCTATCATGGTCCCCCTGATATAGCACCATTCCTCGGGACACTGGAGCCATGTTGGTTATGTTAGATTTCTTTCATCCTGAAGGGACAGAGATTATCTTCACTAGAATAAACACATTTTTGCTTTCAATATCCAAAATGGTTCTTCAGTGTCACCACCTGTGTATCTGTGCCTCGTCATAATCCTATGATTCATTATCATTTTATGACATACATGGTTGCTTCTCATCAAGAATTTCATTTGAAAGCACAAGAAACAAGCTCATGCTCTTGAAATTGACTAATCTTATTGCATATCCCATCGTCTAAGAACAAGTGACTTGGTAAATTGGTGCAGAGGCAGAAGCTATAATTGGAGCACCACTAGTGAGACATGCCCTGCGAGATCAAATGCAGTCCTACAGCCTAGAGTAGATGCTTGGAACCAGTGACCAACAGATGGTGCTATTCCTCTACAGCCAAAATACCCAAGTCCTGAAAACTATTAAACCTCATGATTCATTGAGAAAATTTAATTTCCTTTCTCTACAACCTTAGATTCTCTTGGTTTAAAGATCTTTGTTGCTGACTTATTTCTTGTTCTTGTCCAGAGAAAAGGTCTTGGGAGCAGGAAGCTTATATGGGACATGATTCCAGTGAGCATAAACGGGAAAAGAGAAAAATGAATCAGAGATAAGGTGGGTAAAAATGAGCAGATGACCACTAAAGCTTAACTAAAGCTCAACCTCACCAAGAACCCTTGAAGAAACAGTGTAGAACAACTGTTAGAATTTTCCTTTTGGAGGCTGAGAAGGCAAAGCATATGCCCCCCAACTACCATTCATAGGACATTAGCTTCTTGATATTTTCAGGCTGTGTTTTCCTTTGTTAGAGCACTAGAGAAAGGGAACTAGTTACTGTATATTGCAGCTACAGGCAAACTCTGCCTGCAGAGCTGAGGAGACATGGAGAGAGGCAGCTACCTTATAGGCTATAGTTCCCAGGAGAAATGTGCTTTTATCATTCAGGAACATAATGATGTTCCCATTGAATGACAAGTTGGAGCTGCCACCTGACTATTTTTGGAGTCTTCACGCCACTAAACCAACATGCAGAAGAGAGGTTACAATAGTAGATGGAGTGGTCAGTTCCAAATAACAAGGGAAATTTGGGTTGAAGTACACAATGAGGACAATGAGGACCCTAGCAAAAACCTAGGAAATTATTGGAGAACCATTTTGTTTTTCTGTTTTCAATAGAAAATGTGAAAAGAAGAACTCAATAAAGACAAGACTCAATAAAAGCAAGACCATCAAGAACTTAGATCCTTCATGAACAAAAGTTTGTGTCACTATCAAGATAAAGGTCCACAACTAGCCAAAACTAAGAACAGTGGGAATGTGAAATAAGAAGTGGCAGAGGGAAGTGCTGAGTATCAACTTTGTGCTTATGATTGGTTTAAAAAAATGACTGAGAATGGCATGCATTTTTATTTTACATTAATATTAATTTGTCCCCTTTCTGTATTATTGTGTACAAAGTATGCCAATGGTGTTTGTTTGTTTGTTTTTTGGTACCAGGGATCAAACTCAGGTCCTTGTACTTGCAAGGCAGGCAGCAGAACCACTGAGCTAAATCCCCAGCCCTGCCAATGGTACTTTACTTAACCAATTAGTTCACATGTCACTAAAATTTGAGAATCCATGGTTTAATGGGAAAAACTATGTATTCCCTAGACCTCTTCGACCTTTAAGATTGTAATAGTAACAAATCTCACCCATGTTGAGGACACTACAAAGGCATCTTCATTTGTATATTGTATAGTTGTATGCTGTTTGAAGCACAGAGTTGTTGTAATATAGGAGGTAAATATCTTGGATAGCAGAAGATGTGGACCATGCCAATTATTTGCCTATTTGTTCTTGAATCTATTCTCTGGTTTTCCTATGGATCAATCTCTCAAGGAAATACATTTCCCAGGATCCCTGGACAAGTGGCTTCCAGGTAAGTTTGGCCAATAGGAGGCTCTAGTAGAACACTGGAGTAGTTCCATACTCCAGAAAGAAGTATCAGGGTATTTCATTCCCTTCTCAGGTCGTGTTTCTCAGCCAGTTTCTCTGGCTGTGTTACCACTGTGTCTCCAGGTCTCACTAAACAATTCTTTACTTCATGATCTGCATTTCCTGCCATGATACTAGCTCTTGGGTGGCACCAGCTTCAGTCTCTGATAATAAGAACCCTCTGCTGTCCCTCTACTACTTACTAGAAGTAGTAGCAGCTGTACAATGTTACTAATCTCTGGTTTATTTCACTGTCTAATGTTTGACTTCTCACCTCTTCCATCAACTGTAGAGATAATACTCTGGATTAAAATTCCTCTGCTTTTCAGACCTAGAATAGATTGTTTTCTTGATGAACCTAATATCTAACCTAATGTTTATCCTGTGCCCAGTCTGGTCCATAGGATGTTATAACCCACTGCTGGCAACTTGGCCCACTAAGAAGGATCTGGCTGGTAGTGATCATTGCAGGGGTGGATATAAGCAGAATTAACTATGAGAGGTGAAAGTTATAGTTGCTAAAATGTGGGTTGGATGTAAGGAATACATGAGCCCACCTGCCCTTAGCCCTTTTAATTTCACAACCTGCACTGTCTAACACAGTAGCCACTAGCACTATAAATGAATTGAAATGTGGCTCATCTGAATTAATATTTGTATTAAATGTAAATTGCACACCAGATTTCAAAGACTAGGTGTGAAAAAATATCACAATAATAATTTTTATATTGATTTGGGGGCATATTATGCTAAATAAATTTTATACTGATAAAATTAATTTTACCTGTTTCTTTTTACTTTTTAAGGTGGCTACTAGAAAACTTAAAGTTACACATGGCACCCAGGCATGATGGCACATGCCTATAATCCCAGCACTTGGAAGCCTGAGGCAAGAGGGTAGCCACAAGTTTGAGGCCAGCCTGAGCTATGTAATGAGTTCAAGGTCAGCCTAAATTACATAGTGACACCCTGTCCCAAAAAAACAAGTTCATCATCCACACTCAGAACTATCCTAAACCACTCAGTGGACTAATCCAACACCACACACACACACACACACACATACACACACAATCTAGTATCTTACACCTATGATCCAGTCATTCCCAAAAGCCCCACCCATAAGCAAATGAGTCTTTGGGAGGACATGTAGATATAAGCCATAACAGTAGGAGTACCAACTCCATCATAAATCAAGTGGGTGTGTATATGTGAGTTTGTTCCTGGACACTTCTGTGTTGATACTACACTGTTTTAGTTACGGTAGCTTTGTGACAAGTCCAACATTCAGTTTTGCTAATCCTCCCATATTATTCTTCTTATTAAAGATTGATTTGGGGATTTTTTGCAGTGTCTGGAACTTTAGAAAAGATTATATTGAACGTATAGATCAAATTGGGAAAATATTTACATTCTTATATTATTGAATCTTCTAATCCTTGAACATAGTATATCCTTTGGGTTTTTAAAATATTTTCTTTCATTTCACTTTTAGAATATAACAGGCAAATATCCTCATAGTATGGTAGGCAAAATCCCTTAGAACAATAAATCTCAAAATTGTTTAAAATTTTCTGTGTAGCGAAGTTGCACATCTTCTATTATACTTCAACGTATTTGATTTTTTTAAAGACTTACAAAGAGCATTGTTTTTAAATTTTACTTTTTAGCTGAAAATAGAAATTAAATTGATCAACCTTATATGTAGTACAACCTTGTATGTAGTAGTATTGCTAAAATTACTTATCTCATTATAACAAATTATGTATAAATTCCCTTTGATTTCCTCCATACAAAATAATATTATTTGAAAATGCTGCTAGTTGTATTTCTTTCTTTCTAATACTTACACTTTTAATTTCCCCTTGTCTTCTTGCACTAGCTGGGACTTTTAGTACAATATTGAATAGAAGTGAAAACAGTGAGTATCTTTGTATTTTTAATAGTTCTAGTGGGGAAGCATTTAATATTTTACCTTTAGATATAATGGTTTTGTAGATATTTTTCTCAGGTTAAGAAGCACTGAATGGGGGAAAAAAAATATGGCACTTAATGAAAAAAACTGCCAACCTACAATTTAATACCTAGTAAAACCATGCTTTGAAATTGAGTTGATATAAAGACACTTCAGGCAAACACAAACAGGGAAAATTAACCTGCAGCAGGCCTCCTCTAAAGGAAATATGTTCTTTAGGTATAAGAAAAGATTCTAGTTGGATGCATAGAGATGCAGGTTTAAAAATGAAAAACAAGGGCCGGGGATTTAGCTCAGTGGTTCCAGTGCCTGCCTCAAAAACGCAAGGTCCCGAGTTCAATCCCCGGTACCAAAAAAAAGAAAAGAAAAGAAAAACAGTGACAGAATACATATGTGCAAAGTTCTAGATTAATACTGATTGTACAAAATAGCAATAACTGTGTTGTGGGGTTTAATACTGTTTGCAGAAATAATTGAAATATATGAAAACAATGGCAGAAAAATATATGGTAGGTAGTAAATAAATGGTTTAGGGTCTTTGCATTGCTCCGAAAGTGGTACTGTATGTCCTAATTTATATGAGAGAAATTTTCATAGATGCAGAGTGCATCTACAATTTCTTGAGTAACACTAAAAGAACGGCGGAAATACATAGCAAACAAGCTATAGAAAAGTCAGAATAATAAAAAATGAATTAAATTAAGGCAAGTAAAGAGAAAAAGTAGAATATAAAAGAAGTTGGACAAGTAGAAAATAAATGGTAATGATGGACTTTAAATCTGTCAGTGATTATATTAACTATAAATGGAATAAATAGTCCAATTAAAAGGCAAAGATGTTAAGGCTGAACTCAAAACTCTATGCTGTTTTCAAGAAATAAATAAGTATAAAATATAGTGAAATTTGAAGTAAATTAATAGCAAAAGATATTCTTGTAGATAGTAATCAAAATATTATTGATATAATTATACTAGCATCACACAAAGTAGTCCTTTTTAAATTTTTTTTAAATTTTATTTATTTATTTTTTTGGTACCAGGGATCGAACTTGGGTCCTTGCGCTTGCGCAGCAGGCGGTGAAACCACTGAGCCAAATCCCCGGCCCAGTAGTCCTTTTTTTAAATGATTCACCCCTATACTTCACCAGGCACCATTGTTGTTGCTATTTTATATTATATTGATTGATTGATTAAGTCATTGATTTTTTGAGACAAGGGTCTCACCATGTAGTTCAGACTAACCTTGAACTCACTATGTAGCCTAGGCTGGCCTCGAACTTGCAGTGATTCTCCTGCCTCTGCCTCCCAAGTGCTGGGTTTACAGATGTGCACCACAATGCCCAGCTATAAAGTAGTTTTTATGACAAGAAAATGTCTTCTAAAGATAGAAAAATGGGAGAGACGGGGATAGGGAAAGACTGATAATAAATTATAGTTGGGAACAAGAAGCTTTGTTTGTTATTGCATGGTATCCTGACTATAGATAACAATAATGTACTGCACATTTCAAAGGCTAGAAGAAAGAATGTTGAAAAGTTTCACCACAAAGAAATGATAAATGTTTGAGGAGATAGATATATTTAACCTGATTTAAATACTGTATAGTGTATACATGTATGGAATATGACATGGCATCCAATTAATAAATACAATTTTATATTTTTGTGTATCAGTTTAAAAAGGATAGAGAAAAAACTTCATAATGATAAAACATCACTCCGCTAGGAAGAAATAATAATCATAAACATGTAAGTCCTTAATAACATAGCCTCAGCTGGGCATGGTGGTGCACACCTGTAATCCCAGAACTTTGGGAGTCTGAGACAGGAGGACTGCAAGTTTGTACCCAGCCTGGGCAATATAATAACTTAGTGAAACCCTGTCTCAAAATAAAACAGGGCTGGGGATTTAGCCTCGCAAGTGCAAGGTCCTGAGTTCGATCCCTGGTACCAAAAAAACGCCCCAAAAAACAGAGCCTCAGAATGTATGATAAAAATTAATAAAACTTGAAGAACATAAATAGGAAGTATAGTGGAAAATTATGAAACATATCCCTCACTAACTGATACGTACCAAGCAGACAAAATAATCAATATAGACATCAGAGAACCACACTACACAATTAACAAATGTTGCTAATTGACTTATACAGAAAATGTATATAGAAAATTGCAATCAACAGCCTCAGAATATAGAATCTGCCCCCCTCCAGTGCATATGGGTGGGAACTCTTTCAAAGGAGGTTTGGATAGTAGGAGTCTGAGGTCTGGTCTCTCTAGCAGAATAAATAACAGAAAATGTCACTTTCCATGCCCCCTGTACATTCATGTTCTAATTCCACTCTCCTATTAAGTGCAGGCCCGTTAAGAGTTTGTTTAACCAAAGGGCTGGGGATTTAGCTCAGTGGTTTCGCTGCCTGCTGCGCAAGTGCAAGGACCCGAATTCGATCCCCGGTACCAAAAAAGAGTTTGTTTAACCAAAGAACAGGTGATACCTCTCATTTCAAATATGATGAGTAGGGGCCAGGGATTTGGCTCAGTGGTTTCGTCACCTGCTGCGCAAGTTCAAGGACCCAAGTTTGATCCCTGGTACCAAAAAAAAGTCTCAAATATGATGAGTAAGCTCTTAGAGGCCTGGAATCATATTTTGGAGTGGACTCAAAGGTCCAGCTTGTTATACTCAATTCCAAAATAGTGTGTTCCCAGAGGTCAGATGGAGCCAGGTGAAGCAGGACCTGTGGTTGAAGGTAGAGACACAACCAGGGAGCTAGAAGACAAAAGTGAATTCGCTATCAAGAACTCCTGAGAAAAAAATGTGGATATTTCCTGAGGATTTTTAGGGGGATCGTAGGCCAAGTCATTCTGAATTGTGTTCCTTTGCTTTTTTGTGTTATTTTACTGATAGTAGAAGCTTCCGCTCTATTTTTGCATAAAGCATATTTGACCACTGTGGCTTAAATGTTTTTGTGCCCTTCAAATTCATGCTGAAACTTAATCCCTGATGCAAGGGAGTACTAGAGGCCTAGAGGCATGGCCTGTTGGAGGTGACTGGGTCCTGAGGCTCTGCCAGGAGATTAGGTGCACTTACAAAAGAGCCTGGCTGAGGGGGTCATACGTTTTGTGCTTCCTTTCCTCCCAACATGTGGTGACACAGCATCCTTCCCATTTGGAGGATGTAGCAACCAGGTGCTGACTGAAGCAGAGAGGAATCCTTACTGGATACCAATGCTGCTGGCACACTGACCTTGACCTTGGAATTCTCAGCCTCCAGGACTATGAGAAATATATTTCTGTTCTTTTTATTTTTATTTATTTTTTATTTTTTGGTACCAGGGATCAAACTTGGGACCTTGCGCTTGCGAGGCAGGCGGCAAAACCACTGAGCTAAATCCCCGGCTGTTTCTGTTCTTCATGTATCATCCAGTCCTGGATATTTTGTTACAACTTCTCCAGTGGATTAGGATGCTGCCTTTAAAGGTATATAATAGGTGTGATCAAAATGTATGGTGAAAGTTTAAAAAAATTTTTAATTTGTTAAGTAAAAGACACATTGCCATTAATCCCTCTCACTTTGAACACACTTATCCCATCATTCTTAGCACTTTCGGAAAGCAATTCTGAAAGGCCTTTTTTGTATCTTTACATGGTGTGCTAAAAAATACAGTGAATGTTGCTGCTGAGTGCTATTCAACAGAAAGGCAGGCTTGTAAAAAACATGACACTGTGTACTTTTCCACCTTATTCACCAGATAAGATACCTGTGACTTCTGAATCTTTCCCAAAGTCAAAGTAAGTGTGAAAGGTAAATGTTTTGAATTAGTTCCAGACTTCAGGGCAGCCTTGACAGTGCAACAGATGAAACTCACAAAAGACAACTTCCAGAACTCCTTCAGAAAATGGCAAGAATG